GCCTTCTAAAAGAATTTAATATCTGTGGACTTCGTGTTCATCCGACTAATAGTAACGGAAATGTGAAAATTCCTGGTTTTGCGTACAACTCACATCCAGCTGAATATTAACTTCATTGTAAAAAAAACCATTCCCAGTTAGGAAATCAAATGAAGTATCAATATTGTCAGCATCTTCATAAACATTAATTTGAGAAGATTTCTTTTCTAATCAGTTGGTGGTGATGGGTACAGAGAAAGATGGAAGTCTGAAGGTGTTATATTAGTATATCTATGTACATATAAATATATAAACTTTTGCTTGTAAGTATCTGTGATCTCAGAAAATACCCGGCAGATTTTATTGAAAATTTGTGAGTTTACTCTTATGATTCCTGGAACGGTTTGTAAGGGACGTGGACCAAGCACCAAAATATTCGTAAAAGTCGTTTGTATGGTTCCTTTTACTTAAAATTATTTTTTTTTATAACATAGCTAACTGGCTGCGGCTGACATTCTTATACGTTTAACTTGAGTGCGAATGGTGCATTTGGCTTATCCCGAAGCATTTATATTGACATTTTCGTGAACGACTTTTTGAGCAACGAAGAAGTAATCGACACATACGAATACGAAGCTATATCAATAACACAATTAAAAAATTAATATTTTGAATTAGATCATGCTGAATTAGCAGTTTGGCGGTCACTATAGCGGAGCATGGTTAGCATTGCGTATATCCTTTCGGAAGACAGGGGTTGGAGTCCTATTCCGACCAACATCCTAAAGTTATAGGAAATTAATCACAACAAAAACAAGCAACAGTCTTTTGAGAGTGGCTTAAAATATAATAAATTGTAGGTTCCTATATTTGTTGAAAAACATCAAGATACCACAATCGCTTCAGCGATTACGAAGCGCCAATCATATAATTAGAGGTTTTATATTTGCACTTTCCATACTTTTTTCTTTTATTTTCTGCGGTTGTTTAAAGTAGTAAGGAATATTTTGAACATGCGAATTTTTTATAAACATTAATATTTATTTAGTAAATCTGCTTCGAAATCGGAAGCCTAACAATAAATAATAAACTCTTAAACTAAACTAAAGCATAAAGTGCATTAGGAGGTATAGGCTGCTGGCTTGACGTCTCTCTTCTCCGCAAGGTCAAGGTGTTAGCCAAAGGATTCGCATGGTTACATAGTTTTGTTAAGTATTTTTGGCTGCGATTTCAATATTTTCCTTGATGGTAGGTATATTTAGATCTCTATGGATATTTTCATTACGCATGTACCATGGAGACTTTGGATTATATCCATATTCGTCGCGAAAGCTGTGCCCCATAACCTTGTTGTTAAGGCTAAGTCCAGACTTCTTGTTTAAAAGTCAATGTTAACTGGCAGATTTGAGTTTAGGTTGCGGCGTTTTAGCAGCAATGTGCCGTGTCTAGGTTAAGCGACTGCCCAAGTCTATTCCGAGGTATGTCATTTCGTCAGCTTGCTGAATCGAAACATTGTTGATAGTAGGGCATATTTTTGGCTTAAAATTAAATAAAAATCTAAAATTGTCTCTAAATTTAAATTGAAATTAAATTGAATTACGATTGAACCAAAGTTTAAACGCTAAATAATTATTTAATTAATTCATAATTTACTATTATTATACTACAATAAAAACGCAAGTATTTCCTAAGAGTGGCTTCTCAATCTCATATATTTAAAATCGGATTTATGTTAATAACTTTATATATGAATATAAAGGGTGATTTTTTAAGAGCTATAAAAAAGTTTTTCAAACACAAAAACCGATAAAGTTTAAAAAAATGCATGAAATCTTTATTTGAATCGATCGTACGGTCCATATAATTTAATGTTTGAAGATTATTTCATGCAAATGTTGACCGTGAATGCGCCTCAAATGGTTCATCCGCTTAGTCCAATTTCGGCATATTCTTTCCAACATTTCGGCCCGTATCTCACGAATAAATGCCTCAATATTGTCCTCCGATGCGTCAATTAAAGCGGGCTTTTCTGTATAGACATTAGATTTAACATAGCCCCATAAAAATAGTGCATTAAATCGCACGATCTAGGTGACCAATTGACCGGTCCCGAATGTGAAACAAAATGTTCACCGAACTCGGCTCTCAATAAGTCCATTGTTACGCGTGCTGTGTGGCATGTGGCATAGTCTTGTTAAAACCATATGCCATGTGGTTAGTCAAGCTCTTGCATTTTGGGCAAAAAAAAGTTTAATATCATCTCGCAGTAGCGTTCACCATACACAGTTATGTTACGATGCGCTTCATCTTTGAAGAAGTGCGGTCCAATGATGTCACCAGCCCATAAACCGCATCAAACTGTGACTTTTTCTGGATGCATTGGTACCTCTTGCCATGCTGCTGGCTGATCTTCACTTCAAAATCGACAACTCTGCTTACTTACGCACTCATAAAGTCGAAAATGAGCTCCGTCGCTGAACACAACTTTTCAATAAAAAAACGCGAGATGAACTTTCTTAACAGAGCACGCATTTTGATAAAAAAATTCAATAATCTGCAAGCGTAGTTCGTTTGTAAGACGATTCTTGGTTAAATTAAAGACCAAACTGTAGATGTTTGACAATGATACAGAACACGAAGCGTGTGTCAGCTGCTTAAACCAGTGTTTCCAAACAGATAGTAGCTAAAAAATCACCCTTTACATATGTTAATTGAAAGTACTACAAATTGGCATACATATATCAGCAGAGTTTATTAATAATTATTCATATTTTTCTTTTGATTTCATTCTACTTATTTCAGCAACGGAGAAAGTGTTTCCGTTAACCCAGATTCGATTTTAGTATTATTAATATATATGTAATTGTTGAACATGTAAAATACAAATAAAAATAATAATTATTTTACAAAGGAAATGTAAGCATTTAGAGCTCTTAAAAAACAATTGTTTCATCATCAAAAAAAAATATATATAAATAAATAAAAACAAAAAAAAAATTCGATGACAATGTAATTATATATGGACGCGCCAGCTGCTCGTATATTAATCGACGTTTCTGAAAATAAACAATATAAATATGATGAAATGAAAGTTGATAACAATTTTTATTTTATGAGGTATTAAATAATCTTATTTGTATTATATTTACATTTATTTATTTACTTTGCAGCATTTTTGGAAAACGAAAAAAATACTTCATTCATTCCACATTAAAAAAAAACTTTTTCACTAATCAACCGACCATTTCTTGCCCTGTCCGGTAGAGCACTGTACTTAGTTCAAAAATTTTTCGTCTGCTTCTTGTCTAGTGCCCCTAGTCACACTCATCGCGAGTACCTGACTCGTTCCCTCGACCTTTTCCCATCGTTAGCATCACTCATCACTCATCACATACCTAGATATCTTCACTTTTAGAAATTCATTTCACTTTTTTCTTCATGAAATATATAATTGCCGCTTTGTAACCACCAAATGTGGAGGGTTGAAATCTGCTCGGACGAACATCTAAAATTAAATTATCATTATTTATTACTCTTTCTTGACGAATATTGATTTTCAACACCTGAGGAGTTAAAGGTTTATCCGCATAAATACGATTCTTCCACAGCAGGCCCAAAAAAGTCGGTTACGACCATAACGTCCCGAATTGGCATTGACAGTCTCCCCGTTGTCGTTTTCAAAGAAGTTACACGTTGCGAATGGTAGACTGACTTCAGTTGTTGTCTCAGGTGTTTTAAGGTTGGATCGGTTACAGTTTATGCATTAAGAGAGTCCCATCTTTTTAGAACGTTAAGCTCTTGAAAATGTCGAGCGATTGCGACACTCGGGACTTCGGCTACTGTGGCGGTATTGGATGTGGAACGAGCAAAACGATTACGTGCAGGCAGTATCAGTATCGATTCGAGTTTTTTAAATTACATTCGAATTTTATCAAATGTTTGGGTAGCTGGACGATTATAGGCGCCATAATCTCGTCTTAAAGCACGAAACGTAGCCACGTTTCAAACACCATTACCGCAGTAGGTTTTAACAAATTTCACGGTTGTACGCATGTTAAGCGATTCATTTTCAGAAATATCTGACCTTTAACTAAAACAAAACATGTTTGGTTTGGCAGCTAAGTTTGACAGAAATCAAAATACAGTCCCGTACTTTTGAAACCACGAAATGGATAACACTATATAAACCATTTGCATGATACCCAGATACAAAAGAACAAAAATTATTTAACCAATTTATATGTTTTTGTTAGTATGGAGGGTTGTGGTATCAAAATGAGTCTCAGTCAAACCTTTGGGAATGCGACTAGACAGATCGGTAGCCACTACAACTTAATCTAAGCTAGTATGGAAGCCACCATCCCCCTATTTGAAAGTCCAGCAATCTGCTTGATAACACATGTTGTTGTTGTATGAATTCGGTTGAATTTGGTGGAGCCAAACCGTTGAAGTGGTAAACCGATTTTCATCCGAGTTACTCTACCAATTGGTGGTGCATGTCTTGTTGTTGTTCCAAAAAATGGAGCGACATAAAGTTTATTCCAAATAAGGAGTTTTTCCGAACGGCTGATGGTTTCTTATGAGGAGCTTTCCTTGCCGAATCTTTACCATAATTACTTCATTTTTTAATTAAAGAATTTTGGATGTTGGTCGGGTCACGACTCGAAACCTGCCCTTCCGATTACTGACACACACTGCTTACCAAACGGCTGTTCCGTCCGCCTATCGCGCATGCAAGTTGCTTAATGTGAGTCTTCCGACAAGAATGATAAGAGAGCTAAGTCTGAAGATTTAAGGTCGCATTGTTTGCTCCATAAAAGAAAAGCAATATTATATCAGCGGGCAGTGACACGTTATGTAAGCAACAAGAGCCGATGACGCCTTCATTAAGTAAACCGCTGCAATCTATGAATTGACATCTGTTTACGTATGTCTTAAGGCCTGTGAATTTTGGCAACCCTCCTTCTTAGCGGCGCAGTTGACCGTAATTAAAAAAAAAACTTTTAAATATGAAATTTTGATTGATGAACTTCCAAAGTTTCTACTAAAATACTAATATTACAAAAAATTACGTCTGCTATCTACTCACCCTTTATAAAATACTTTTTACTACTAAACTGGCTGTAATTTTTTCAGAACTCTCACCGCTGATAAAAAGTTCTAGTACTAGGTGTTCTGAGTGCTAGCCATTGCTGATGATAAGGAACATTTACAGTGTAAAATTCACAGAATTTTAGTATTTGTATTGTATAAATTGGGTAATCCAAGGGGATACCGATGAACCTCATTATTAGCATAATTTCGTGTTAATTATACTAATAAAGGTTATAAAAGCGATTTTGTTGAAAATAAGAGTGACAGAAATTCCAAAGCCGCAGAGCTAGACAGACGTGTTCGAAATCTCTTACCAAGTGAATTTTTTCTTAAGTTTCCTGACCTCACTTTGAGGACTGCTGTTATTTTTTTAAATAATATTTTAATTGTAAATTCGCGCTGGAATATGACGCTGTTAGTAAAATCAAATAATAACGAATAAGCATATCAAAAAAAGAAACAAATAAATAAACTTTATTTTTACTGAAGAAAAAAAAATTTTTTTTTTAATTACAAAAAATTCCTAATTTTATTAAAAATTATCAAATTTCTTTAAATAATTCACAGCAAATATTTTTCATTCCAACACTGCATTATGTGGACGCGTTTCCTCATTCTCCTGCTGTTGGCTCTAACGCCACAGGCTATAATAAGTGTGAAGCAGCGCGATCTTGAAACCGTCTATCAATGGAAACAGCTTGTGTATGGCTTTGCTACGCCAGCCGATCGACAACACGCGCAATCTAATGGATATTTGGTGCCAGAAAATGGCACACCCATCGATGTGGCGACACACCAGCAAGGTAATGACGGAATGATTAAAAATAATAATCATTTCAAAAATAATAATAATTATTGTAAATATAATAAATGAGCAATAAAATATTTACTCTTAAAAAATATATAAAAAATAATATACACAAAAAAGTTAATTTCAAATTTTTAATTCTTTTTTTTTTTTTTGCAGCAAAGGGTTCACGTGTCTTCGTCACAATACCCAGATTTCAAACAGGCATTCCCTACACACTGGCGGTGGTGAGTGACAGTAATGAAGCTAATGGTCCAGTTTTACAACCATATCCGGATTATAGTTATCATAATGCACACGGCAGGGATTGTAATAAAATTACATCGGCATTTCGTGTAGCGGTGAGTTGAAAATTTTATGAAAGAAATATGTTTTGAAGAGACTGGTCATTAATTTAATATTCATTTATTTTAAATAGTCAATTAATCAATTAACTAGTAATCCTAATTTTATTTGACTTATTACAACAACAATTAATAAGTAACTGAAAAAATAATACAATTAATTAATAAATATTGTGATTAATCAAAAATATTGTGTGAATAATTGTTTAACCATTTTCGTTTGGGTTATTAATTAATTAATTAAGCATTTTATATGCAAAATTATTATTTGATTATTTCTTGTATAATACTATTGACTAATTAATTGATTATTACTTTATATAAATTAATTAAACATCTTTCTATTGATATAAATCGTGGGCCATCTAGCGTTTATTTTTGAACCACGGTTTTTTCAAGCTTTTACATACTCAATGACACTGCCAAATATTATTATATTGTATTGTAGTAAGATATGATTCATTAATTTTGCATTGAATTGAAGACTTTATTAACAACAGTATGAAAATTTCGATTTATGCAAAATATGAACTGTTTTGGCCGTTCACAGCACCGTTCGACAATTTTTTGCCATTTTAAAGGCAATTTCATTATGCCACTTTCCTAAAAATATTAGTCCCTATTGTCGAAAAATCAGAGCAATCGATTTTCACAGGTTGCTTTTCAGGACAATGCTTCACCACCCAAGTTATCCGCAGATGGTGATTACTTGGTATGAGGTCAGGACTATACCCAAGCTCTCGGAGTTTTTAGAGAGTCACTATCGATGTGTGTGGTCTGTCGTTGTACTGATTAAATACAATACGCCTCCTGTTGGCTAAAACAGAGAGCCTCTATGAGGGTGCTTCCTTCAAACGGTACAATGGCTGACAGTAAAGGTACGAATTAAGGGTTTAACGGTATATGAGCAGCTCATAGTGGATGATTCCTTGACAAACCCACCAAACACAAAAAAAACCTTTCTGCCCGTCAATCCTGGCTAGTAAACTGTTTGTTCCGGCTCGCTGCACTTCGATCACAACCGTTTCCGTTTCGTAAATGACAATTCGGTTCATGACGTTTTTTTTTAGTTTAATCATGTGACAGCGAGCTTCTTTGTGTATCCAAAGTGATTCCAAACCAACTTTTTCGCTATTTTTAGCTCCTAGACAATGAAAACAGAGCTCGCACTATAGTCTGACTCAACATTTTCAAAAATTAAGCATGAAATTCGTGCGAAATAACTTTCCTTACAAACTGTTTGGATCGATTTGTGCAGAGAGTTCGCCTAACCGGTTCGTTATCATACAAAACAACTAGCGCACCTGCTCGTGTAGTGCGTTCGGAAGAAAATATTACCGATGTACTTCAAAGTGTGCTCGAACAGCCGTTCGCAGGAGTTAAATATTTATTTAGGCAGCATTTTTGTATGAAGGCTTAGATGATATAACTCGTTGAAGAATTAAAGCCCCATGACCATACAATGTGTTTTCACAAAGCTCAATGTGCTGAAGATTGCTTGGCAGGAGATGATAATTTCTTGCAAGAACTCATTTTTCCCAATCAATCGAATTTTCACTGCGACGGCTACAAACAAAACTTCCATATTTGGTGTTCAGAAAACCAACACGTAATCATGGAGGAGCCAATGCAATTTCAACTAGAGACTGCTTTGTGCGGTATGTGGACCGGCGGCATCATTGCACCATTTGGTCTCGAAATCGCAGAAAGACCTGCAATTCATTCACATTATTTTCCCATAGAATATTTATGATATGGCCGAAGTGCACATAGCAAACGAAGCAATCGATTCTTTGCGTAAGGTCTTCGAAAATGACATAATAAGCCGAAATGGCTAAGCAAACTGGCCGCCTCGCATATAGGTGCAACGCCATTCATCCATAAACGATTTATGACTTGAGTACAAAGTTGAAGTTAAAAATATGCAGAAAATTGGGTCCACGAAATGGGCTACTGCTAGGCCAACACAGCAGCGCCATGAATCAGTGGATTTCCATCATTTACCGGAATGTTTGAGGCATTTCTTTAAAGCCAAAATCATTGAAAAATATATTTCCGTATTTTTTTTTTATAAATTTTTAATGACAAGCGTTTTGTGGCCCACCCGTTACATAATATTTAAAATAAATATTTCGTATAAGCTAATAATTTTATCCACTAATTTTATTGCTTGTTAATAAAATTTTCCACTCATTTAGATCACAGAGTGCAATCAAATGTTCGTCATAGACTCGGGCGTTATTGGCATGACCCAACATTGTCCGCCACAGCTACTCGTTTTCGATTTGAATACGGACACTTTGTATCACCGCTATCGTTTCGAATCGAGCATGTACGTGCCGATCGCCTCGCTACTCATTACACCACTCGTTGTCGTGCAAGATCCTCCACCAAAAGGCCGTTGTCGACGCCTACACGTATACATTGTAAGTAAGAAACCAGCCGCATGCCAAGCTCACTGCGCACGTACTCGAAAATAATTTGTTGACTCACTCGTTGAAATATTTACATCCTTATTTTACTTACTCTTATTGTGTTTTTTTCTTTTCTTTTGTATAATCAATCATTACAGGCTGATGTCACGCATCATGGTCTCGTTATTTACGACTCCGAGTTGAACACCGCATGGCGTGCTGAGAATAAATTTATGTACCCCGATCCCGATCATGGTCAACATACGATAGCAGGCGATAATTTCATACTGATGGATGGCATGTTTGCTTTGGCCACCGATCAACGTCAACTCTATTTCCATCCATTGGCCAGCATCAGTGAGTACGCCGTGCCGTTGAGTGTATTAAACAATCGCACTATGTGGATGGATAATTTGGAGGCAATGCCAGAAGCATTCCGCTTGGTGGGCAGACGTAGTAGTGAATGTGCCGCGCAAGCGATGGATAGTCATAGGAATCTCTATTGTGTTACATTCAATCCAATCAAATTGATCAGATGGAATCCGAGTAAGCCGTATAATGTGAAATATGAAATAGAAGTGCCGGCAGATCCACAGCTGCTGGAGTTTGTCAGCGGCATGAAGGTGTTCAAAAACGATGCGGGGAAGGAGGAATTATGGATGATATCGAATCGATATCAGGTATGTAGTTCGTGCCGCGCTGATTTATAATTTTTTGTTATTTCTTTTTATTTTTTTTTGCAGAAAGTCGCCACAGGCACCTTGACCGACAGTGAGGTGAATTTCCGTGTAGTGCGTCGGCCACTTGATGACATACAATCGCAACATCCACCAATACAAGATCTAAGCCAGAGACTGATTTTTACTTAAAACTGCAGAAACTTAACTGGAATTAATAAAATTTAATTTTAATATTTATACTTTCAAAAATTCGGCCAGATATTAATAAGAAGGCTAATATTTAGTATGGGAAAAAGAAACTGGTTTTCAAATCGGAACTGAGTACAAATAAGATTATGGCAGCGACATGTTTCTCCAAAAATTTTTTTTTTTATTTTTTAAAAACGTCTAACGGATTATTTTAAAATTTTCCTACGACGTCGTTTAGTTATTAGGAAAACATATTTTTAATATTTTTATACCGGAAGTAATCCATATGTAGGTTCTAAGTAAGTTTTTATTTTAATATAATTAATAAACACATTTACTATAAGTCGATGTGTGATTGTACAGTTGCTTAAACAATAAATCATTAAAAATAATTTATTTTCTTATTTTTATGGAAATTAGTAAAATAAGCGACAAGCACGAATATTAATAATTAGAAAATACATACCACTGTCATTTATTCTTCTTTAATCTTCTCAATCTTCTCAAAACGGTATCCTCTTGAGTTTTTGGAAAGGCCAGAAGTCACATGGTGCTAAGCCCGGCGAATACGGTGGTTGGGGAACAATATTCGTGGATCTTTTAGCGAAATGGTCCCGCAGAATGAGCGTTGTATACGACGGTGCATTATCGCGATGCAAAACCCAAGAATTGTTGGCCCATAATTCAGGTCTTTTTTTCGCGAATTGCTTCACGCAAACGACGCATAACGCTTAAATAATATTTTTCATTTACCGTTTGACCGGGCGAAAGAAGTTTATAGTGCACCCCATCACGAAACTCGAAGAAAACAGTCAACGTGACCTTGATTTTTGAGCGACTTTGACGTGATTTCTTTAGCACGATATTCTTTGAAGTCTTTGTACCATTTATACACGTTCTTCTGCAACATAGTTGAGTCCCCAAAGGCTTTCTCAACGTTTCAGCAGCCGAAAATTCGTTCCACAATCAAAATTTCAGCGCACTTCTTTGCTAAATTAAATCAGACATTATATAAATCGTTTTTCTTGATGTTTTTCCAGCAAATGGAGCGACCTACAATTTATACTAAGCCGTCTCCGAACGACTGATGGTTCTTTTACGAGGAGCTTTTATTTCATGTCCGAAATACACTCGGTGGGGTCGACGTTCCCTTCCTAGGAGCAAACGCAATAGGAAATTTAACTTAATTTTTTATTTAAATTAATTTTTTCATGCCAAAATAACTTTCGCAAAATATATTTTATTTTCCTTTGTGACTCGGAGATAATAAAAAACAAGAAGAGAGCTGTCACATATCAAATTTATGGAATTTCATTGTAGGAAAACTTGGTTGAAGAAGTCTATGATGAAGTTTTCCGAATTCGATGATTTAAGGTGAAAATTTTATTTGCAAATACGATTGAATAATGCCAAATTTCATGCTCTTAGATGCTTTTTAACGGAGTTCTGGCCAAAGCCTCGTTTCTAATAACACGTCGGTGTATGGGAGCCAGATGTTACAGTCGTCAGATTTTGGTAAATCTCAATACAAATGTGTAATTTATGACACAAAATCTCAGCTCTGATAAATTAGTGGTATATTTATATGCTATCGTAGTCCAATCTGGCCGATTCCGACAAATGAAACATCTCAAAAATTGAGAGACTAGTTTTCGTACAACAGACAGACTGAAAGGCATATCTAAATTAACTCAACTCCTCATTCTGACCCGATCGTTAAAATTTTTGTTTGATCTATCCCTTCCCTTTCTTTTATTTTCACAAAAAGTATAATTAAAATTTTAAATTATTTCTTTTTGTCAGTTATGGCTGGTCGGGTTAGGCAAGTACCGAAAAGAATGCTTGGCGGTGACCCTCACAAATGTTTCTAGTTTCTTCTAAAATCAAGCAAACCAAATAATGTAGTGCCTTATGAAAGCTTTTCAGTCTCATGCAAGGTCTTGTCGATTGTACTGTACGTAGCACCCACCTAAAACCGAAAGACAACTATCGACAGTCCGATAAGATATAAAAAACACGCCATCGTGTCTGAGTTCGATATCACTGAATCTGCGAAACTTATTCGGAATATCATTCATCAACACCACCAGCTGAGAGGCACAGTCCTGTGATCCAATCAATCCCATTAGAGCATTTCTGCATACTTTTTAACGTCGTGATTAAAGTGGTACTGTCGGGGAAGGCCGGTGTGCATCGTAATGTCACTATTTTCTAAGAAATCATGTCCAGCTTCTCGCATATGTCAATAATCATTGGACGTTGCAGCGAGATTTTACCGGTGAATTTTCGAAAAGGAATCTGCGAAGATGGGCCTGGCGGTGAATGAGAACAAGACGAAGATCATGTTGTCTGCGAAAGGAGATGTGCGCCATTTAGTTGTAAAGAACCACTATATTTTCGAAGATGTCAAGGTGTCTTGGCACCACAATAAGCATCGACAGAAATAAACTTAGCAAAACCTTCGATCGATAGTATTCGGATGAACCCCTAACTGTAAGAGCTTCACCCGTTTGCCCAAAGAAGCTGCAGCGAGAAAGATGCTTGAAGCATATGAGAATGACGAAGGCAACGAACTTGACTCCGTTGGGTAAACCAATTTGAAAAGCACTTGATGTAACGAACTGGAGAAGACGGGTGCAATGCAGAGACGTCTGGCGAGAGTTATTGCAGTAATTATTATCACGCTGGAGAGCGAAATAATACAGCTAACGTTTCAGTATGAAGGAATATGACACTTTGCTTTACTCTGAAGATTTTCATATTTATGTATTAATAAAGATTCAGCATTTTTAAGAATAAATTTTTTTTTAAATTTAGCAAAATTCAGTATCCAAAATTGCAACTTTTTAGCTGCTTATTTTATTAACAACAATAAAAAATGTAAAACATTTAACTAAATAAGGCCAAACACAAAATGCATTCAAGCGCAAAATCGATAAATAAAAAGCAAAAAGTAAATTATCTTTTTTTATTATCTCTCGATGCGTAAGGAAACAAATGTAAGTGTAAACAAGTCATTAATTTAACAATACTTTTTTGTTGTTGTTGCAAATAAAACAAAACTATGGGTACTAAAAATAACTGTTTAGGGTTTCAAATCGTGAATGAAAAAGTACAGAGAAAAAAGGTGTAATAACAACACAAATGATTATTCTGGCATGCAAAAGCAATTTGTAAACAATTTGTCGAATAACGAACCATAGAGGGGAGTTTCGTGATTTTACTTACTGAGGCTATAAAATAAAGTATATATCATAAGTATGTGTTACATACGAAAGGTACACCCTGCACATGCATTATGCATACATACGTGTAAGTAAGTAAAAACACTTTAGAGATAGTTGAAGCAGATAATCTCGTTTTACTAAGAATGAACAGTGTTTTGTTTGACGGAGATTGAAAACTTCTCACGATCTGTTTAACAACTTATACATAAGTATGTTTTCCTTAAGGGTTCACATATAAAGTGTGATTTTTTAGTTACAATCTGTGTGGCAATGCTGGTTTAAGCTGCTGACACACGTTTCGTTTTCTGTATCACTGTCAAACATCTTCGGTTTGGTCTATAATTTAACCATGAATCGTCTTGCAAACGAACAACGCTTGCAAATTATTGAATTTTATTATCAAAATGCGCGCTCTGTTAAGAAAGTTCATCGCGCGCTTCTGCGCTCGAAGCTCATTTTTGGCTTAATGGGTCGTAAGTAAGCAGAGTTTTCGATATTCGAGTGAAGATCAGTCAGAAGCATTGCAAGAACTACCAATGCATCCGGAAAATGTCGGAGTTTGGTGCGGTTTATGGACTGGTGGCATCATTAAACCGTACTTCTTCAAAGATGATGCGAATCGTAATGTAACCGTGAATGGTGAGCGCTACTGTGATATGATATCAAACTTTTTCTTGCCCAAAATGCAACAGCTTGACTTGCATGACATGTGGTTGCAACAACACGGTGCCACATACCACACAGCATGCGTAACAATGAACTTATTGAGAGCCGAGTTCGGTGAACATTTTATTTCAGATTCAGGACCGGTCAATTGGCCACCTAGATCGTGCAATTTAACGTCTTTATACTAGTTTTTGTGGTGCTATGTTAAATCTAATGTCTACACAGACAAGCCCGCATCAATTGACGTATTGGAGGACAACATAGAAGCATTTGTTAGTGAGATACCGGCCGAAATGTTGGAAAGAGTATACCACAATTGTGGATGCGGATGAGAATGGACCATTTAAAACGCAGTCACGGTCAACTCTTGCATGAACTAAACCTCAAACATTAAATTATATGGACCATACGATCGATTCAAATAAAGATTTTATTAATTTTTCTTAATTTTATGGCTTTTTTTTTTTTGAAATACTTTCCTATAGACCTAAAAAAAAATCACCCTGTATATTTGACCACTGAAGCGTTTTGAGCTAAATGATCTTTAAATTTAAACCTTGATATTGGACGTTGTCATGAGAAAATGAGGTAAATCTGGGGTTTCGAAACCCTTGTATAGGATGTTTTTTTTTTTGGTTGTTATGCCCAAGAATTTAGCTTTATTATCAGGATAAGAGTTTACCATTATGCCTCCAAAATTATTTCAGGCAAGTTGCCGCCGTTTCTGGCAAGAAGAGCACCGAATATTCTCTTCTAGCGCATCAATCGTCTCACGATTACCTGCGTAGTCAAGCAATTTCTCTTAACATCAAAAGTAGTCCAGCAGTATTAAATAGCACGATTTTGGAAGCAGCACCACAAAACCTCGACACCAGATAATGCGCTCGTCAGAAGTTTCCTTCAATGAATTTTGAACCAAATGTCATCCACATCTACAAGTCAGGCAGGAAAAAGTCATAAATTAGGGGTCTATAGCATTCTCCAATAACTGTCGTCTTTATTTTTGAAGAAATATGGACTAAATATTCTCTCTTCCCATAAAATGGCCCGTTGAGGATGTAACGGAGCCTGATCAATGGCTTGTAAATTATTATTTTTTTTTTTTGTGGAAATCGGGATAGGTCTCCTTCTCGTTTTGGTTGTATCTTTTAAGCCTGCAAGTCAACACAAGTCCACAACACTTTCCAAGCGGTAAATGCGGCTTCTCCAATTGTTGTATGCAATGGCGGATGTACTTATTCGTGTCTTCTTCGATACTCTTTTCAACGGCAGTAATAGCAACTACGATGC